AAAAAAAAAAGCATGTGTCATTGGGGTCAGGAGCAGAAAAAACAGTAAATAAAAGATAAAGTAAATAAAAGATAAAGAAAGCAATAAATAAATAAATACAATTCTATTCATATCCTGAATCCATAGATTGCAGAGAGAATTGCTGCTTGTAGCTTTTGTTGGGCAGATGATGATTTTCCCTGATCTTTAGTTAACATGCCCTTAATTTCTTTGAAGAACAATTCATTTGATTTCTTTTTTTTCTTTTCTTATTTTATGTCTTTACAGGTGTTGATGGTCAGACTCTGACAGAATCTGAACCGGTGGTTAAAAGGTCCAGTGAGTCTCACAGACTAACCTGTTCAGCCTCTGGATTCACATTAAGCAGCTACACTATGGCCTGGGTCAGACAGGCTGCTGAAAAAGGGCTGGAGTGGATTGCTTTTATACAGCTAGTTCTCCTATCTCCTACTCTCAGACAGTTCAGGGCAGATTCACCATCTCCAAAGATGACTCCAGCAGTAAAGTCTATCTACAGATGTTTGAAGAAGAACAGTTTGAAGACTGAGGACACAGCAGTTTATTACTGTGCTCGACGAGAAACACTGAGAAGTAATAGGAGAGTCATGCAAAAACGACTCCTCTTTTTCATTACCACTTAATAATATAGAGTAGTTTTATAGCAGTTGCTCTGATATGCTCTTTTAGTTTTCCTGACTAAAATTTGTCAATACAGGATAAATTACCATGATTACATTTTATGTGTAATTACTTAAGCACTAACTTTGAAAACAATTACACATTCAAAACACTTTAAGTACCACAAAACCTTGCTAGGTGTTAAGGAGGGAGACGTGTTAACAGTCTTGCAAAGAGCGTGTTGTAATTTTGCAAGACGAGTGAATGTGCACTCAGTTTGAATACTGGAGACACTGATAGCAGACATTGTAAAAAAAGAGATAACCTTTATAAACATTAACATTATGTCTATTATTTGTTTTTACTGAACAGAAACTTGGTCTCAAGTTTCAGGAAGTGGCAAATCAAAACGGTTCACTTAATCAAACAGATCACATATTTATTTCTTTGTTACTGGAGTGATGTCCAAAACTGTCACTCAATTTAAAGTTTATGCAAACATTTACTTACATGTAGCATCCACTCCAGTTTCACCAGTTAATATGTGAGGCTCAGTTAAAATGAGTTCACATGAGTCTAGTTACCTAATGTGAGGAGGAGTCAATGCAAAACTTACATACCTTACACATGTACTTATGTGACTGCAGGGAGCATGACAGAGAGCAGAAGTCACACAGTTTAACACAATGGACTGCAGGACGGGGATGCTGCTATTAGCTATCTGCTGGACAGGTGAAGATCTACAAGATTTACTCATCAATAAAATTCTTAAAAACATAAAGGAACTGATTATTATTCAATTCTGTTTTTACAGGTATTGATGGTCAGACTCTGACACAATCTGAACCAGTTGTTAAAAAACCTGGAGAGTCTCACAGGCTCACCTGTACCACCTCTGGACTCTCATTTAGTAGCTGGTGGATGGCCTGGATCAGACAGGCTCCTGGGAAAGGACTGGAGTGGATTGCAACTGAGGCTAATGGAGGCACCAACTACTACTCTCAGTCAGTACGAGGCAGGTTTACTGCCTCCAGAGACAACAGCAGAGAACAGCTGTTTCTGCAGATGAACAACTTGAAGACTGAAGATTCTGCTGTGTATTATTGTGCTCGAGACTCACAGTGACTGGAACTAGTTGAACAGCTGAACAAAATCCTCCTGTGATCCTCAGACATTTTTCACTCATATGTGCTTGTGCATGTGATTTTGTTTTGTGTTTTGTTTTACTTACAAATCCAGTTTCATTGTGTCTTTGTTCATAAGACTTTGACAGGCTGATTAAAAGATCCAGATAATCTCACAAACTGTCTACTGACTTCAAGCTTACACAAAGTACTTAAGTGTGAGCTACTGAGTTTCCGTTGATTGTGTTTAATCCATGGCCCTTCAATTAAGATGTACAACAGCAAAGAAATTACCAAAGAGGTCTCTCCTATCCCATAATACATAACATACAAAGATATATTTATTGAATAAACTATTCTACAAATTTGTTAGAAATCCTGCCATAAGCCCATGGTGAATCTCCCACAATGCATCAATCACTTCTCTTCCTCTCTTTTTGTATTACATGCTGCTTTTACAAGTTAATATTTTTTCCAGTATTTTTCCTTTTCTTTGTTCTTTTCTTTTTGATATTATTTTTGCACTTTATTGAGTAGTGGAGCAGTGATGAAGTCTGCTGCACCCCAACATGAGACATATGGTTACCTGGTCACACACCATGGTAAATTTGCACCCTAATATTTCAAATCAATATGCAAACCAAGTGACTTCCTGTGACACAGTTATAAAGGAGTCACTTAAAGTGAAACAGTGATCAGAAGGTCATACAGTCAGCTTCAATCAAAAAACATGTTTCCCCATTGCTGTTGGCAGCTGGATGCCGCAAGTCACTGTAAATTTATAACCTGTAAATGTGCAGCTTTTCTTTTAAAATTCAATCATTTGTCCTGCTTTATATCCACCTTTTTACAGATGTAAC